TGGGCTTTGTGATAGCTGTGTCTGCTGCGGACATATTCAGCAGCACGGCTCACTTTTTCTTTGCCTCTCTCGTCAAAGCCGTTCGCCTGCCTCGCACAGCATGTAAATTAGCTGCTAGCAGATGTTGTCAGACTTCCAAATTCCAAAACGAGAAGCGATCAGCTTGAAGATTTGTTTTCTGCAGACTTTCCCATTTAGCCTTTACAGAACACCTGAGCTCTCCAACCCTAAGTTGTTCTAAATAGAACCAGAGCAGTTTAACTTTGCTGTCTGCTGGCCCCTGGAGCCCAGGCCAATAACATTTTGATTCACCAGCTGTAAATGACCTAGAAAAAAACCTTAAATGTTTGCCCAATGAGCAAGTAATTGGATTTAATGAAATAACTGGGAGCTCAAGCTGCAGTGACACCTGGAGTGTGACTCTCCTGACTGAAACCTGGGCATCACGTGACTGTCAGTAACCTCACTCCCTGAGCAGGGATAAAGTGGCCAGTAAAGTTTGTGTTGCATCCTCAAGGCTGATATAAAAGTTCGTTAGGGTGTTTCAAATATTGCACAAGTCCTGGAAGTTTGTTTGTTTTGTAATCTGGGAGAATGTTTGAGAAGTTTGAGTGCATGAGGTGTCAGACAGGGGGGAGTGTTTGTATTCTCATAAGTGGATGTTGTATTTTCCGTCAGCCAACCTGAAGCAATGATCAGACTGACTCTGTACAGATAGAAGAGGCTGTGAAACTCAGTAGAGTGACCATGCTCACTGTCACTTAGACAAAGGTTGCCAACACAGCTGCAGTGAACTGCTCTGCCATTTTTAAGTAACCTTTGAAAAGACTCGAAATGATTGTGCATAATGGCAATCTGCCCATATCCAATTTAAGGTCAATTCAGAATCCTCAAAACAAACTCTGGTGTGAACATACTGGGGTATCGCACCCATGCTCTTGAGTGACCTGCCCACTTATAAAGTAAGGGTGAAATTTTAAATCCTGCTTAAAGGGATTTTCCCTTTAGAGAAGTTTGCGTTGCCGTGTGGTGATTGTGCTTTGCTGTGAAGCTCCATGCTAGTGTCGTGGATTCCTGGTGCTTTGCCAATGGAATACCACGGTGATCTCTAGAGGGAGCAGATCTGAGCGGCTGGGATGGGCCGCTTCCCAGTTTATTCCGCCCTGCACACCCCTCCTGAGGGGATCGCGCGGTGTCGCAGATCGCTGGTGGCAGGAGTGCGGGGGCAGTACCCCTGGGCACGGGCTGGGGGACAGCCCCTTGTGTGGGATGGCCGGCAGGTTGTCTGGAAGACCTTTGCTTTGCGTGACGGGTGTGGGAGACGGCGGGCCCTGGAGACAGGACGTTGCTAGCGGGGAGCACCCGTGAGAGACAGAGAGAGAGATTACTCTGAGAAGGAAGGCTGGCCTTTGAACCGGGTGGCAAAGAATATTATAAGTGGAGTTCTGAGTTTCACAAGCCTAAATAATTGGATATTGATCCGTTTCTCTGGGAATATGAATGTATTTTCTGAGCACACTCTAAGGTGTATGACTCTAGTGAACGCGTTTTAAGGTGTGGTTAGATATTGACTGACTGTGTCTTTTTCCGTTGTAAACCGAAAAAGGTTTGAAAATGAAATCACTCTCACTGTTTGACTGGCTTTCCTGTGATGTGTTTGTACAAAACCAGCCTGGAACAGCACTGGAAATCTCTAATTCAGTTTGTCTTGCTTCTCCTAGGGTAGAAAAAATAAAACGGTATTAAATTAATAAGTGTCAAATTAGGTTGTTATCTATTATCTCATTAGGAGTGTTCACAGCAGGGCAATAACAGTAAGAAGAGAAAGCAAATGTAAATCCACGAGTTTTGCTCCAACACACAGATGGTATCGCTTCCTGTTTCCTTAATAATCTGAGTCATGTTCAGCCTAGTTAATTTTAAGGCTTTATTATGAAAAAAAATTAAGATTTCACATTTTGAATTTGTAGAAAAACGCTTAGAGTATATTATATTGACATCTTGAAGTATTTCTGTAACTGTTTTCATAGCTTAAATTATTGTTTTCTAAATAGGTAGGGAAACAGGTGTAAAATTTGACATTGCTCCCGAGCTCTTTATAAACAGGGCCCAGTGCAGAAGGGAATCCCAGAAGTCACAGAGCATGGAAGGGAAGCTGGAGCTCTGGAGCTCTCAGCCAGGAGAACAAAGAGAAGAAACTGACCTGGGAGCTCGAGTCTTCAGATGGGCTGTGTGGAGCTTTGCGGTACAGTCAACAGCCCGTTCCTCAGGGCTGTTCTTATAGCAGTTTAGAGTCGCCAGTTATTTTGTTACAATCGGGAATAGTCAGTTGTCTGTTTTTGGCATCTTGGCTCTGTGCCTCTATTCTTGCAAACTCACAGAGGGGAGAAGGAGAGAGAGTTTCCATCTGAACTACCAAAGTCATCTCCTTTAGTGAGTTCAGAAGCTTCCTTTGAAAACAGAAACCCAGTCCTGGTTGGTCAGTTTACAGTGTGTAATAAAGCAGCGTTCCCTTGTGCACGAAGACTTTTTTCCTTTCTTCAGCTGCACCGCTTTTGCCTCTTCTGAAAATGTTGATCTTTGTCGTCATCAGTAAACTATAAACGTCCTTGGAGAGAGGACGCATCTTCATGAATTTGCACGAGAGCCTGCAGCTGATGAGATACGACCCGGATCACTGTCGGCTACAAAGTCTATTAATGTTTAGAAGCTTCATAGAACAGAGCCTTGTCTGATATGAACATCAACATGGTGTTCGTGCTCCATGGACCATAGCGAGCATGAACCCACTGCAGTGGAGCAGATGACTCTTTAATGTGCCTGAACCATCTTAGCTTCTTTGGGAGGAAAGTGAAGCATCCGGTGAGAACATGAACGTAGGGTGAACATGCAAGCTCCACACGGACAGACGCCCCAGGCTACAATTGAAGCCTGGACTCTGAAGCTGTGAGCCAGCAGCGGTAAACACCGTGCCACAGCCCCACCCTCCTGATTTCTGTGATATCAGTGGCTTTACTGCACAACGTTTTGTAAATAACCAAAGGGGCTAAGCGTTTAATTTACATCATCATGTCAAATAAGTTAATTAATCTTTTGCATTTCTCACTGGTCCTGTCCTGCAGCGTCTCGTCAGAGAAGCATAGCCCGACAGCGGCCAGTCTGAGCTGATGCAGGCAGGATGCTTTGGAGAAGTCTCTGTCATTTCATATTCCCATCACATTCTCAGACAGTGGTTTTAACAGACCGGACGGGAGAGCACGTGTGTGCTGCAGGACAAGTCCACTGTACTTCCACCCAGAGAGACTGCTGCTCCACTCCTTAGAATCGGACACATTCTTTAACGAGGTCGTTAACACTCTGTTGTTTTGGTGGTAAAGAAATGTTCATAATACTATCTACAGAAGAAGAAGCAATCTCTCCTTTGCGGAATGTGATTGGAATTGTGGTGAATGAAAACATTTGGGGCAGTGTATTAAACATCCTTCCACCTCCATTATTTTGCTTTGAGTAAAAAAACAACGATTTGCATTTAATTTTCCATCTGTGTACACCTTATGAGAATAGAACGAGATTTGTACTTCTTAATAAGGTCTGCTATCATTTCATTAAAATCCTCATTTCTCAGATCCCAAAAATCAGAAGGAATTCTTTTCTGGAAAGATTTGATTTATCAAGGTTGAGTTGCTTGTAAAATACCTTCCCCGCTGTGTTAGCGTTGAGATAGGGACACCAGCTCCTCCTTTTGGAGCTGCTGTGCTTTGGATGTGTCCTGTTTTGCGTCTTGTCCTGCGAATTTCTGTGCTTCTGTTAATTAGCCTGGGTGAATTGTGAGACAAGAATAGAGACTGCCAAGACATGTGGAGAAATGTCAAGGTACAGAAGTGAAACTCCTTCTCTGCATCTCACTCTTCACGGAGCCGGCCAGGGTCTCTGCTCCTGGGCACAGGAATTTGGAGAAACTTGTTGCATTCCAGGAAGTTCAAAAAGACCCTTGTTTTTGGTTTTTATCTTTCATTTTCCTGTGCATTACTATTTTCATTTTCCTCTTCTGAACCAGCTACATAATACAGTAAATGAGAATGTGGTTAGGACTGTTGTGTGGCATGTTATTAAAAAATTAATACATAAGGTCACAAACTGCAAAAAAAAATATCTTGGCAGATGCAGTAAAGGATTATTGGACCATGAAATGGAAAGCAATTTTCCAGCAGACTGCGTTTAGCAGACCTTGACCGTCAAACATTTTCAGTAACTTACATGCTGTATATATTTTTGCTCAATTACAATGATGATTCTAATTTGTGGATTAAAGACTGCTTTCTAATGAGTCTTTATCAGAGAAAATAATTTAACTTCATGTCTTTGACCACAGTGATAAAGAAAATGCAGCTTAATTACTTTCTTTAGCCTTAGGACAATGGAAGGAAATGCAGTTGGCATCCATTGTATGTGGAAACCTCCAGATGACAAAGTACGTCATCTGTCAGCCCAGTGTGCTGTGGGAGACCCTGGTTTTGAGAGGCTGTACCCAGTGTCTCGGGGGTTTTGCAGTCATGACCTCATCTGTAACCTGTTGTAAGAAAAAAAAAAGTTAAATTACTTCAGAAGCCTTTCTCCCCCATTATTAATGTGTTCTTCATCAACAATGTTGCGCACAACAAGACTGCACTCTGTCAGGACTGGAGGTAACTTAAAACAGGGACCTACTTTGTCCTCACAGTGCTGTAATAGTACTGGGACATCATTTTAGCAACAGCTCAGTGATTGAGAAGCACAGGAAAATTTAAAATAACCTGTTCATTTTTACTGAAACAGTGTTATATAACTTGCTTTGAACAGGCAGTGATACTTATGTTGACAAATATTGTTCTTGTTATTTAGTAGTGATATTGGTCTGTAGATGTCATTGTAAACGACTAACAACGGAGAACTCAAGACAGGCTGAATGACCCACTGCCTCTCTCCTCAGCCTGTGTCATTTTCTGTCTGTTTCGTTGTAGGCTGTGACGCATCTGTAGGACTGCAATGACCAGTCGGAGCCGCGGCCATGCAGAGAAATCGGGTCCCCCATCTTCAAAGCCTCCGGCCGCGCCCAAACTGCAGGTCCAGCGATCCCTGTCCCGCGAGAACATCACCATCCACTTCTCCGCCTTCGGCAAGGAGGAGGAGGAGGAGGAAGTGGAGCTGTACGGGGCAGCTGCCTCTTCCTCAGCTCCGGACGACTTTGATGACCAAAGTATTGTAACGGCAGTGGAGGCCAGCGAGGACCTTCAGTTTGATGCAGGCGGGCTGGACCCGGTGGATCTGACTGCTTCTGCTAATGTCTCCGTCTCCTCCTCAGCACAGCCACCGGTATCGGCAGGCCCTGCAGCTGGGGTCCCACAGTCCCCTGGCCCCCTGCGCTCGAGCCCTGCCCTCTCTATCCTGTCCTCCCCCTCTTCCCATGCGGGGTCTTCTGCTGGCCCAGCAAGCTCATCCTGGCCGTCGGAGCAGAAACCCCCTGCGGCTGCCCCTGCCGCAGCTGCGTCTTCATCCTCCTCCACCTCCTCCCCTTCCAAATCCATTGCCCTCTCCTCCGGCGCCAAGCCTTTCCTCAGCCTGGTCAAGTCGCTGTCCACCGAGGTCGAGCCCAAGGACTCGACCACTTCCCTGCGCCACCGGCACCTCATGAAGACGCTGGTGAAGTCCCTATCCACCGACACCTCCCGTCAGGATACCGACTCCACTTCCTCCCGGCCGCCGGACTCCCGCCTCAACCTGCACCTCTTCAAGCAGTTCACTCAGCCCCGCGTGACCTCGGCTGGGGACTCCAAAACGGCCCCCTCGTCCCCACTCACCTCTCCTGACAGCCGCTCCTTCTTCAAAGTGCCGGAGGTGGAGGCCAGGATCGAGGACACGAAGAGGCGCCTCTCCGAGGTCATCTACGAGCCCCTCCAGCTGCTCAGCAAGATCATGGGAGACGAGGGCGGCGCTGGAGGGCATCGGCACAAGGCTCTGTCCTCCAGCGCGTCCGAACTCTCCAGCCTGGCTGGGCTCAACGGGCACCTGGAAAGCAATAACAACTACAGCATCAAGGAGGAAGAGTTCGACTCCGAGGGGGAGTACCTGCTGGGCGACTCCACCCCGGACCGGAGGGAGAGCACGGCCGGTGTGCCGGAGCCGGCCAAAGACGCTGCGGACGCCAAGAGCTCGCCGGCCACTGGTACCAGAGAGGCGAGGTCCCTGCCCCTGGTGCTGGAAAAGTGCTCTCTGTCTGCCCTGGCCAAACAGGAGGATGAGGAGTTCTGCGAGCTCTACAGCGAGGACTTTGAGGTCTGCACAGACACGGAGACTGACGGGGACAAGCCCGAGGAGGCTGTGCTGGAAGCTGCATTGACCCAGGGGGACAGCACGGGCGTATGCAGCGAGGACGAGCTGGACGACGACGTGCCGGCGCCTAGTGTACCTTCCAAAACCTTGTTTGTCCTGATCACTCTGCTTTATGGCTACTTTGTGCTGCCTTTGCCCACGTACGTCTGTGGAATGCTGTTGGGGGCTGCTGCCGGGTTTCTGATCGCAATTGGAGTCGTCTGGCTGTCCACGCCGAGGGGTTCCGGTTATCAGCGAAGACACACTAAACGAAAGGACTGCCTGTGGAATGTGGCTCACTTAGACATCAAGGAGCCTGATTTATTCAAGGTGGGTATTTAAAAAACACACAGGATTTTTTCTCCTTTTGCTGTAGTTCAGCCACTCAAGCTGGAGCCATTAGGAGCTTTTCTGATGTTTAACTGGCACTCAGAGTTAAAAAATACGAGCTGTCCTTGTAGTACCTTGCAGAGAGGGGATGAGAAATGAATTTGCTTTTTGAGGATTTGTATTCTCAGCAGAGTAATGAACATTCAAAATCAGAAATAATTATCAATCATTCAGCGTTATCTAAAAACATCTGTGCAGGCCAAACACAGTTGTGTTGCTCAGTGCATAACCTTGATACCAGTTTGAATCGTTAATGACAAGAGAGAAAGATGGTTCTCTGTGCTTGTGCTGGCCTGAGCCCGCTGTTAGCCAGTCTTAGTTTTGAGATTTAGTTGTCTTTTGAAACACTCCTAATGGAAGATTGGATTGTCCGTTCCCTAGTGGAATGACTAAAAGTTAAGAATGTTACAGAATGGGAAGAGAAGCATGTTTAATTAATCTTTCAGCATTCGTCTGCACTTATTAATCACTGCTTTTCTGGTGTGTTGAATATAATTAGGTTAAGGTCAAGATTTTATAGCAGTGACTTTCATGAAGTTGCTTGAATTACACAAGACTGCATCTAAGGTAGTCCTCCATAAAGGTAGATTGGATACTGATTTTTACAGTGTAAAAATGTACCCTTCAGTCTTATTCCTCAGCAGTATTATTGGACAAAGAAGACAGAAACCCTAGTGTAATTAGAGTTCTGCGGGGGAATTAGAAATGCCCTTTAAAGTAACTCCGTCCCAGGCAGAGTGATGGATCATTTGTCTCAATCTCTGCAAAGTCCTTCTCTCTTTTGTCTTCTCACGGCATTTTCCCAGCGTCGTATGTAGACATAGTTTAGACTGGTGTCTGCTGACATTCAAGCCAGTTAACAGAAAAATCTGCAAAAAAAAAAACAGTACAAATGAACGCTGAAGGATTTATGGATGTTTAAAGCATAACTAGGGCTTTACATTTACCCCGGATATAAAATGCAAGTTAATACACTTACATTTTTGGATGAAGCATATATCCTTTCAGGTCTTATGGATGCTGCAGGCGCAGGGGAGTAACTCACAGAAGCTCGGAGAATAAAAACATCACAGGTTTGCTTTCATCTGTGGTTCCCGGTGTCGGCTTGAGCCATCTGCCCTGGAGGGTGGCAGGGCCTGTTCTTCCCCTCAGGAGCAGTCCGGGCTGCGGCTCGTCCACCCACCTGTTACAGCAGGGGGGCGGAGGGCCAGGTCTCAGCCACCTAAAAATAAAACCGTCTGCCGTCTCACCCTGCAGTGAGGGGGCGGGCCTTCCTGTAAACCTCACTAGGAAAAAAACGTCATTTTGTATTTTGTGTTTATAGACTCGCTCCCTCCCCCTCCCTCTCTCTCTGTACATATACTGTATATGCCAGTGTTTCCTCAGTTCATCTGAACAGGTGCTCATTCAGGCGTGGCGCCTTGGTGTGGATTAAGAGTGGCAAAAGAACATCCCACCACAATTTCCCATGCCTCCCCCTTCTCTAGATCTGCAGCTCTGGATCTTCTAGATCCCCAGTCTGATCCAGCGGTCTCAGAACGACCGCTCCTGGGTTTTCCGACCCTGCTGCTCAGTGTACGTGGCCCCGGGCCCACGGCCAGCTGGCACTGCAGAGAGCCTGTAGGTCAGAGAGCAGACAGCTAACTCCCTTCCAAGCCAGCTCCTATTGCTCTTTCCTATTGGAGCAACCCAAGGGAAGTACGTGGAACAATCCATCTCATCCCAGTCCAGGATGTGAACCCACGACCTTCCAGTT